CCCAAGTTCAATCCCCGGTACCAAAAAAAAAAAAAAATACAGATCTCAGGCTAGTGCCACTAGTACATTATGAATCTAATCACCTATATTTCTAAGACTACAGATGAGCTACAATTTATTATCAGCCTGGATCTTTCTAGGCAAACCACAACTAAATCTCTTCAGTAAACAACTATTAATGCTGTGTGTCAATCAGCAAGCATTTACTTCATCTACCTAATAAACTGAAGAAAGTAACATTACAAAAGTCATTAGACTTCTCAGAGGAACCACAATAACCCAACTTTGAATTGAAAAACATTTTAAAATTCATACAGTTAAAGCAATATGTATAAGCAAATGTGTAGCTTTAAATGCTTTCACTGAAAATAAAATGCTACAAATTAATGAGCTAAACTCTCTTGAAAAAAAATGTCAAAAGGTTTCCCAAGAAAGAAAAAGAAATGAAGAGCAGAAATTATGAAAGTAAAAAATAAACAAACAAACAAACATACGTGTTGGTACAGTGGTGCATGGCTGTAATGCCAGGACTCAGAAGGCTGAGGCAGGAGGGTTGCCAGCTGAGGTCAGCCTGGGCTACACAGTTCAAGGGCAGCTCGGGTTACAGAGCTAGACCTGTCTCTCAACTCAACTCAAATCAAAAAAGTAAGAAAAAGATGGAAAAAAGCAAAAAGCTGGTTCTTTGGAAAGATTAACAAAATTAATCTAGCATGCATGACAGATAAAGAGCAAAAGAAGAACAGTACAAATAAAAAATTAACGGGACAAAACCATAGATACTAAAACTATTAAAACATAAGGAGACATTAATATAAACACTTATGAAAGTAGGTTTCAAAATCTAGATAAAAAGGACAAAATCCTGCAATGTGATCCTAGCAAAAACTAGTTCGGTAACTTACGGATTTCTAAAATAAATGCATGTAAAATACAAGCCAGAAATAGAACCCCAAGTTTAATGCTTGATGTGAATTTATGTGAGGTAAATTATCACTACATTAAGTTTACAAATATCTATAGCCAAACTTGTATTGGAGAAGGCCCAACTTTTCTAGATTGCACTGTTTAAACATAAATCAACAGCTAACCAATAAACCTGGACTCTGGCGTCTGTAAAGTATAAGAAACTATCATCCAATAGTAGCTATCAGAAGTGGATCTAAAGAGGAAATAACAAGAAAGTCATGGAAAAGTGAAGAAAATATGTTTACTAAATACTAAAATATGAGAATTGTAGGAACAAGGACCCTGTAGACATTCTGTAACAAAGACCCGTGAGAATCTGATGAAAACTGTCCATGACACCCCGTAAAACTGCAAGTGAACACAAACTATTGCGCGAACTTTTGAAGTACTCAAAGATTCCCTAAGTAGAACTTCAGTGTACCTAAGAATCAGCAAAAACAACCCAAGAAAACTTTTAAATGTCCTGTCCATGAGATCACAATGAAATGCAAACACTTGATTTTAAAATGCTACCGTACTACTCCGAATACAGAAGCTACAGTCAGGGTGAGCCTTTGAAAATCGGAGGCTTAACAAAATACCGACAAAACCAAGAGAAAAACAAGTCTCCAAAGACGCTGAGGATCCCTAGGTCTGCAGGTCCCTCGCGTCCGCCCAGGCCTCTCCTCGGCGCACGGCTCCGGAGGCCCCAGCTGGCCCGGGTCGACCCCCTGGGTCCCGGCCTGACCCCTTCTAGGCGCGAGGTCCCAGGGGAAACTGGACTGCTCGCTTCGGGGCAGGGTCCTCGCGCAGTGCTCAACGTGGACAACCAGCGCGACCCCGCAGACGCCCGGAGCGAAGGCCAGGGCCGGGCCGCGGATTCCGGGAGGGACCCGAGCCCCAACGGACACGGGCAGTCTGCACTGGGCGCGGGGGCGCGGCGTGGACACCCGAGGCGCGGCCGGGGCCACACGCTGACCCTGCCCGCACGCTCGCCCCGAGAGCCCGGGCGACAGTTACTTGTGGAAGTTGGCGTCCGTCTCCTCCAGGCGCAGGAGGACCTCCTTGGCGCACTGCAGGGACGGGGCGCCGGTGACCCGCTCCTTCACGCTCTGGATCAGCTGCCTGAGCATCGCCCGCAGACGCGCCTCGTCCCCGGGGCCAAGCGCGCCATCTTCAGCCGGGGCCGGGACCACCGTCCCGGGGACCACTGCGCGCCGTCCAGTGCGCACGCGCACCACCCGCCCGGCCCGCACGGGGCGTCGTTGCCTAGGAGACCGCGGAGCGCACTCTCAGGCGGGGCCTCGGCCACTCAGCGGTGCCCAAAAAACCAATTTCTTCCTTCGGTGAAATCAGGGCCCTCTTAGGCCTCGCCTTCGATTCCGCCGCTGCCAGCCTACAGTATCTACAGAACTCAGGTTGCCCCGAATAACGGCCCCGACGATCTGTGGATCTGTGGAACGCCGGCTCGTCGGCCACCGTACGTGACGTCAGCACGTCAACATGGCCTCCTTGGCGGGAGGGCGGGGCGCCTGAAGACCGATGAGGTAAGCGCATGCTCGCAGGCCTGTGCCTTGCGGGTGCGGGGGAAATGGATTGGTCTGTAGAGGGAAGAGAACAAAGTTACACCGAAATAGCCTAAAAACGGTTTGTGTGGGTCGTATACAAGCACCAGATTCCTACTGTGAAGGAAGCCGCTATGCACGGCAGACATGCACTAATGAAAATTAAAATGAATGGAAGCAGTCTGAAGCTTAAGCTGAAGTGTGAGCGGTGTTGGCTCCTCCCACAGCTGGCCCCTGCTGAGCTCCTTTCCAGGAAGCTGGCGCATGAGCTTGTTGGAAGATGACCACTGCGCTGTCTCCCCGAAACAGAACCTAACAGTTACAACGCAGTAGACCTGGCCCATGCTGGAAAGACGCACCGTGCAGAAGCTCTGGGAATTCGTGCTCGGGTTTGAACCCAGTGCAGAAGTTGGGAGAAAGGAACAGCGAACAGATTGGACGCGGGCTGCATCAGGGCCTGAGCATGGACAATATTGGGTATGTGAGTTTATAGTCAGAAAGAAGTGAGGCCAGAGCAGTGCCCTGGCCATACTTGAAAGAGTCATGTGAGGCAGTCTAAGGGATTGGAGGTTTATCCTGCAAGTAGTGAGACAACTGGATTCTGGAGACACCACCATGGGTTGTCAGATATAAAGAGCATACTGCAGGAAGCTGCAATGGATGATGGTAGTTCCTCACCCAGTTTCCAACCTAGATAAATCCCCACACCATGATCCCATCCAAGCTAGGAAGAGCCACCCAAGCTGCTGTCTGTAGAAAAGTCCCATGCTGCTGCTGAGGAATGGTTCAGTGCAAAAGCTGACTTGCCCAGGTTGAGCTTAAACTGGAAATCTTCCTGCCTCAGCCAGTTACAGAGAGCTAGTATTACAGTGTGAGCCACCTCATCCAGTTCGTGTGTGTTCTTACTCATCCTTTAATGCTTAAGCACTATCCTAGCTCCAGAGTTCCTCATATGATTGGCTGAAGCCTTTGCTGAAAAAAAAAATGCATTGAAATTTTCCTCATTCATTTCCACTCTTCTTTGAGATTGTTCCCTGGAGTCTACCCCAGTAAGCCTACTGCACACAAATCCAAGATGATCAGAGTCTGTGTCTAACAGAATGTGTTGTCCATTTTGGAATTCCATGGGGTCAATTCGACATTGTTCCATTTTCTTAAGAAAATAAGCTTCTGGCCAGGTGTGGTGGCACACGCCTGTAATCCCAACACTTGCAAGGATCACCATGAGTTTGAGGCCATCCTAGGCTACATAGTTCAAAGGCATCAGGAACTGCATATCAAGACCCTGTCTCAAAAAGAAAAAGAAGCTTCTGATCATGGTGTAGGCTTTGGTATTCCTTATGTGTATTTAATACATGATGTACCTTGGCCAAGGTACTAATTTTCATACCAAAAGTATAAGGTCACAGTGGCAGGGTCAATGACCTACACGTGATTTTTTTTTCATATTTCCCTTATTTTTAAAATACATTGCCGGGGATTTAGCTCAGTGGTTTCTGCACCTGCTGCACAAGCACAAGGACCTGAGTTCGATCCCTGGTACCAAAACAAAAAAAAATAAGAAATAAAATAAAATACATGGCTGTAAGCATAGTAGGATCTTGGTACTTGTGCACTTGGAATGAATGTTCCTGTGTTAAATACAAAGACCTTGGATCTAGGAAAGTGCTCAGTAATTCTTGGGTATTGTTTTGTTTTATTTTGGTACTAGAGAATGAACTTAGGACCTTGCACTTGCGAGGCACATACAGTGCCACTAAGCTAAATCGCCAGCCCATTCTTGGGTATTATTAATGTTGTTGCCCATTTTTAAAGCTTTAAAGTGTACATTTTCATAGAACTTAGCCACGTTCAAATTTTACAAACTAGTAAAACAACCATTTCAAATTTTCAACTGTTCAAATTAGCTTTTTACATAATACATTGAAGTGAAATTGGGGAGACATAAACTACCAGTATCTGTATTGTAGGCTTCTTCTATTTAGGAAGATCCCCCATTTTTTAGGGAAAGTCTCACTTGATTAAAAAAATCATGGGAGGACCACCCGGGCACACCCACCAGCCACCACCTTAGCCTGCAAGAACAGACACCGCCCCTCCTGCCACTCCCCTGCCTCTGGCCTCTTGGCTGTGCATCTACGTCGTTCCACACTACAGAGGCACAGGGGGACATAAAGGCCATTGTCCTGAGCTGCAGAAGTGAAAAGCAGAGAGAGGGCCTCTCTCAGGCTCCCTGATAATCGAAAACTGAAGCCCACTGGAAAAGTGAAGAGTATCTCTGCAATAAAGACACACCAGAACACCATACTTGGTAAGTTGGAGGAATCATCACCTCCCATCGGAACCTGGACTATCTTCAGGGGAAAGGCAACTGGAACCTGCAATCGAACCTTACAGAGTTCAACCCTACAGGAGGACAAGGAGCTCAACTTGGGACTTGCAGCCAGAAATCTGCCTGAATCTCACGGGTCTGTGACTGGCTTACTGAGACTCATTGACTTATAACTGCACACTGCTGCCCACATTGTCTATTGTGATAGCAGAGACATAATCTGAAGGAGGCCCTTCATTTTAATCTTTTATTTGTTATTTTCAAATTTACCACTATTTTTTTGCTCTTATTTTTAATTTTCTTCATCTTTTTATACTTTAAAAAAAATATTTTTCTCTTTCTCTTTTCTTTCTCTCTCTTTCCCCCGTGCTCCCTTGCTGTCCAACATTGTTCTTCATCTCCCTTTGTGTTCCTGTTGCCCTAATTCATATTTCTTATTTACTTTTCTTTTCTTCTCTTTCCTTCTCTCTCCTGTGCCCTCTGGCCTCACTGCTAACCTTCCCCTATCCTTCTACTTACCTATTCCTCCCTCCCAGCTCCTTCTGACTCCCCATCCTGAAGGGTAAAGTTGATATATTGAAGAGTTTATGCACTATAAACATATGTTGAGTTGGTCCTTCATCTTGATTTAATTCATACAGTTAAAGGTGATAGATTAATAACTGCCACAAATTGTCATTTTCTAAGAGGTACTTGATGCTGTTGTGTTGCTGATTGTATCACTTGGGCTAAGGTGTTATGATCTAATCAGTTGTCCTTCCTGGTATAGTGAAAATGAGATAGCCTCAGAGCCATTAGAGACTCAAAACCTAAAGAACAGCTGTATCTGGAAGACACCTCTGAGAAGCAATCATTCCATAAGGGTTCTAAATACATCAACAAAGATACTTACAATAAGCAACTTCAAAGTATCAACCCAGGAACTAAACCAAGGACAGTAACAAAAACAAAAATGAGAAGACATTTAAGGCACAAACTCAGACTTCCACCCC